TGTGAAGAATTCATCTGTTTTTACCCTTTCTTCCCGGCCACTACAGACTCCAAATTCTGATGCTTTCTTCTTCCGTGGACTCAGCACTAGCTGCTGGTGATAAGGCTGACACTGAGGAGGGAGGGACGCTGTGGCGACAGAAAGGCAGGGAGCAGACAAAGTAAAGAAGGGGGCGTGGCAAGGGGAGAATAAAGGCTAATTGGGAAAGAGTGGAGGAGGAGAAAGCAATGGAGCATGCTCACTGCTTCTCACACACTCCCACCTAATGTAGCCAAAGTGTGGAGGGGAGAGGGTGAGCTTGGAGCCACGCACACCTAAGTGCAAGTCCTGGGCTTCCATCATTTACTAGCTGCTTGATCTTGGGGAAACTACTTATTCTTGTACAACAAAGAAGTGGGGAAGCTCAGGGATTCAAAACAAGTCTGCCTGATTTAAGGACTCCAGACATTTTCTCAGTTTATACAGCATGTCCTAATCTATACCCTCACAATAGACCCTGGTAATGAATACAGTAATTAATAACATCCCAGATGGTAGTTGAGCTTGTTTTTAAATTCCTATGATCAAAGAAGTTGGGGAAATGTTACAAGAAGATTAGTTGGGAAAAAAATGGTGTGCCACTTATTATCAGCGTAGAACATTCAGAATTGTCATTCATAAGAAGTAAGCTCATTACTAATAGATTACTTTTCTTGTCTTTATGTGACTATTTTCTTGAATTAAAAATAAACTTTTTTCTTACTGCAAAAGCAACACCTGTTCACCTAATACAAATTGGAAAATAATGATAAGCAAATAAAACAAAATTAAACACACTCATAATCCCTCCACCCAGATATAACTGCTGTAAAGGCCTTTTAGACTTTCTTTGTTTTTATACAGATTTTCAAAAATCGTAATATACACTTTCTTTCACTTTATAAACATCTGGTCAACAGCATTCCACGCCAATACATTGGCCTTTACTACATCATTTTTTATGTCTGCTCACTAAGGTGAAATAATTTTATTTGTTTTTAAACCACATTTGTTTACTCAGATGTCAGAAACCCACAGATAAGGAAACATCTGAAGAGCCCAGGTGTGTCTATGTGGAGAGGTTGAGTAATTCAACGTGCAAAATATAAAAACAATTTTAACCAGCTTGACAGTGGTGCGTCTGTTTTCTATGGCCCGTCTACCCATGAGTCTACCGCCGACTTCAAAGAAAAGTCAGCACAGAGGGGATCCAGAGGATAAGGTGCAAAACGAGAATCAAACCCATGATAAGAGATTAAAGGAAGGTTGATCAAGGCCCCAGCATAAAAGTGCTAGCCCATGACTTGCCTTGGCCCATGGCCCCAAAATATTCATCAGAGCAGAGCTCTCTTTGAAGTGATTGGAAGCGCCTGTGCTCAGATGAGCTCTCTGGTCAAAGGGCAGTTTTAAAAGTGGCATAGAAGGGGTTGGCAGAGTTGCCTCTCCCTCTCTTGTCTTCACATCCCTCACAAATTGCTTGAATGCTGCTTCTTTGGTTTGTTGTCCAGATGTAAGTAGTGTAACTGGGTATCAAGTGAGCAATTCAACCCAAGAGGGAAAGGATCAACTTTTTCCATTATGGGAGATGTGGGAAGTAGGGCTGCAAGAACGTGGCAGTGGATTTGCGCTCATGAGCATGGAACTGCAGCCACTGCTCGACCTTTTCAGGCAAGGCAGCTGGTACTTCCAGAGAGGCAGTGAGACTTGTTCATTCCTCTCCCTGTTCGTTCTACTTGCTCGTTACTTGTTTGCTGCTCTCCCAAATAGGAGTTTTTGGCTCTTTGTGGTGTTAGGACATAAACCATCCATTTCCTCAGAGAAGAGAGGAAAAAAGAAGTGCTCCCAAAATGGCAGTTGCCTTTACAACATTCAGCTTACATTTTTAAAAGTATGTTAAAAGACAAGAATTATATAAAATTGCTAAAAATGTGTGCTTAGAATGTCTTTAGGTAGCAGTTCTTTCAGGCTCCAATTTTCTGGTTTTTCACTCTACACGATAATCTTCCGTTCTTTAGGGTCTTTATTTTTACTTCCCCTGTTATCTAATCTTCATTTCCTTCAAAGTGCAAGGGATTTGCATTTTCTCTCTACCTTTTTAAGGTCAATTTCTTAATCTTTACTTGAGGTTTCAAGTTAGAAATTTTACTGACAAGTCTTTACTGAGCACAACGTTAGGCCCTGAGAGAAAACTGGAAAAGGTATCTCCTCCTTTACTGGAACCACAGTCCCGGTGAAGAGACAATGGATTTTCCAACAAAAAAATGAATGTGATGTCAGCCGATATGGGCTTTGTAAGGACAATCCTTCATGAAGAAGGAGAATTTGAACTGGGCCTTGAATATACCTGAATTATGGTCAAAGTTACAGAAGCAGAGAACTGTAAGGTGTTTCATAGCAGAAAATGAATACATTCATTAAATTGGGGCAGATGGCTCATGTTAGAAAGTAGTGAAAGAAGCTTCACTAGGTATAGTGAAGTAGAATAGTTCAGAACTATAGTTCATAGTTAGAATGTGCTGTGACTCTGGATTTTATTATGAATGCAAGAAGATTATACTGAAAACTTGGAAGTGGAAAATGGCGTACTGAAATGACAGGACAATGTGAATCTGACTGACACACAGGATGAATGGGGTGGGGAGAGACCTGGGGCCGTAGTTTGGTTGAAAGGGCATGAATAGAGCCTGAGAGAGGAGGGCCCAAGAAAGAATAGAAACTGGGACCTGGAAGGATGGATGGACTCCGGAGGCTGTGAAATGAGAGCTGGTCTGACCTGCAGGAGCTGGGGAGGGGGGAGTGTAGGAGGAAGGAAGAAGGGGGCTCACTGATGATTCAGTAATGTCATCACACATAAACTTAACTGCATGACTTTTACTGAAGTGCTAGGTGATGGGATTACAAAGAGGTTAAGTTCATCAACAGAATGGTTAGGAAGACACAGTAGGTATTCACCTGAGAAATTCAAAGTAGCCTCATCTAAAGCCTCTTTAAGACTGAGTGAGGCAGTGAGCTCTCAGGAGTTCAGAGAAAGAAATTTTCCCTAAAATTTGGAGTCATGGGAGCTTCAGGAAGAGATGGGACATAAGATGAACCTTGAATAGTGGGTAGAATTTGGAAAGAATGGGAGGAGGAGTTAAAAGGGTGGGGTGAGGGGGAGAGAAACAAAGGCATGAGGTAGAGAAGCACAGGAGTGTTTGTGGCACGTGGAGTTAGCCCATCTGGCTGGAGCAGAGTTTGTATGAAAACTCAGAGAGGAAAAAAAAAGAGAAGGTAGAGACTTTTGATTAGCCAAGTTAAAGAGTTTGTAATTTAACCTGGGCAACGTCAAGCCACTGACATTTTTGAGCAAGGGAGTGGCCAGAGCAAAAGGGTATTTGGTGAAGTTTAATCTGTGAACGATGCTCGACATATGTATAAAAGTAGGGAGGCAATACTAGCAAGAGGAGTAGTTAGATGAGTTCTGGTCAAAAGGGATGAAGATGTAAAACTGATCATCTAAAGAGTATAGAGAAGAGGCAAAAGAGTTACTGATAAGCCCAAGGGAGAGCAAGAAATACAGAATTTTACTCGAGATTTCAAACACCGAAGGCTGTGATAACGATTGTGCTGTAGACCAAAGTATGAACGTCCAGAGAGGACTGGTTTGGAGGCAGCCCAGAGAGTTAAGTCTTAAAGAGATGGAACCTGAGATGACAGCCAGGCAAACGTGTCCAGAAGCAGTTAGAAGCAGGGGCTTGAGGCTTAGCTGAAAGACAGATTTACCATTCCTAGTTGGAAAATTCCACAGAGCTCAGCAATCCTTAAAAGTGTTTAATTAACTTATTTATTCAGAAAGTGAAGTATTTTCAGAAGCTCACTTGAGAATTTATACTCTCTTGATGCAGATGAATTCTCAATTGCTCTTTTGTTTTCCTTGCGAAACAGTTCCACTTGTATGAGAAAGAACGAGGGGAGGGCAGTGGAAGGGTTTCCTCAGTATTCCAGGTGTAGAAGTTGTGGGCATTGAGCCTCCTGTACGTAATATTCTTCTCTTCAGTGGTAATACTTTATGAAGATTTTATACATCTTTCTGTCAATTGCCACACCCACCACAGTCAGTGTTTTGCACACTGTAAATACCCAGTGTTGGTTGATCTGCACTTTCATCATAAATCTCAAAGATAAAATAGTGGACATAAGAAAAACTAACAAGCTTACAGCTAATCTTATAATGACAGACCCTACATAGACAAATGCAGAGCGGATATCAAATTTGAATTGCGAAAATTTTGTAAGCGAAGTACAAGAAGCAATCACTGTAGCTTCAGATCTTTACTAAAACGATAAAATCCATTAACAATCCCACATGCCTTGGAGCCAGCCTCCTAGACATTCAAAGGTCACAGCACCTTGAAGAGCGGAGCCAACAGCCCAAGTTATCAGAGTGAAGAGTGACTCCAGGCCCAGGATGGCTAAGGCAGACCTTCATTCATTTTTTTGTGTGTGTGTGGTACGCGGGCCTCTCACCGCTGTGGCCTCTCCTGTTGCGGAGCACAGGCTCCAGACGCGCAGGCTCAGCGGCCATGGCTCACGGGCCCAGCCGCTCCGCGGCATGTGGGATCTTCCCGGACTGGGGCACGAACCCGTGTCCCCTGCATCGGCAGGCGGACTCTCAACCACTGCGCCACCAGGGAAGCCCTGCATTCATTTTTTCATCTGACATAGGAACTAGCAAGAACCTCAGTTATTTAAAGGAGGGGGTGAGACATAGGATAGGAGGACCCAGACCTCTCGAGAATAAAACCAACCAACTACAGTAAAGGAAGGAGGACTATACACAGATAATATTCGTCATTCTACCTGAATCCACAGTTACACAAGTAAAAAGAGGAGCATCAGTCTGGTTGACTAGATCATAAAGAAGCAACTTGTCTCTTTTTTCCCCTTCCAAACTTACAAAAATACACCCTTCATTTTATCTTATCCTTTCTCTGGTCTTTCAGCCGCTCGACTGATCCAGAACATGGATGCCACTGCTGAGCCTTGTACAGACTTTTTCAAATACGCCTGCGGAGGCTGGTTGAAACGCAACGTCATTCCTGAGACCAGCTCCCGTTACAGTAACTTTGACATTCTAAGGGATGAATTAGAAGTCATTTTGAAAGGTTAGTGGAGTTTGTGTCTATGCATCAAAGATTTCTCTATTAATGTATCCATTTCTTAAGATACAGCTCTTAGCGATTACAGGGAGTATCGCAAAAGACTAAAGTCGATAATCCCTCCAAGTTTTGTGGACCACCGCTGAGTCACTCTGAGGGTGGTAGACGCTGAAATGGATATGTTGGCATCTCTTAGCATTCCTGCCTTCATTTGTAGGTACACACGATAAAGCTCTATTATCCCTGGAGATGGGATCTTTATGCCATTTTACAGAAGAAACTAAATTATTGCCAGTAAACACCACCTGCATGTTCTTTCTACCCTGGCCCTGTGTTGTGGTCACTGTGAGATGTTACTGAGATTTGCCTTCCCAGAGTAGGTATATCTGTTCTAACCCAGTTAAGACACTCTCCCTGGGAAGTTGAGAAAGCAGTGTCTAGTCCTTTGCTATCCTCCATTCTCTGTTCTCCTCTTTTAGAAGTTACTTTGTAAAAAAAAAAAAAAAAAAAAAAAATTCGCTATTTTCTAATATCCAAACAAGAAGAACAGTACATTCATTTCATCTGGAGCATGGACAGTACTATCACACAAAGATAGTTATTTTCAAACCATCAAGAAGACTATCACATTAAATTCCAAATTCCTCTGTAGTATTTGTTTTCTTTTTAATGTCAATTTCAAAAAAAAGTAACTTCTCTATGGTAGAGCACTACACATCACTGTTCACACACACATACACACACAAAGCTAAGCTGGGTGATGAAACTGACTCTCAGTTCTGCACCAGGAATAATGATCTGGTGTAAGGGGTTTGGTTTTTCCTATAGGGTTTTGGAATAGGAGATGTGTGAACATATGTACAAAAGTTTTTTTTACCAAACCTGCATTGAAAATGTTAATTGCAGCTGCAAATAAGCAATTGTACTGATGTGTTTTATCAATACCCTATTTCAGATGTCCTTCAGGAACCCAAAACTGAAGACATAGTAGCAGTGCAGAAAGCAAAAACATTGTATAGATCTTGTATAAATGAATGTAAGTGCTCTGTATTTTATTTTATTAGGAGTATGCCAAAATATGCATAGTCTTCATAATATATTTATATTCATTATTTTCAAAAGCTGCTATTGATAGCAGAGGTGGAGTTCCTCTACTCAGACTGTTACCAGATATATATGATTGGCCAGTGGTGACAGAAAACTGGAACCAAACATATGGTAAGGCAATTTTCCTTCTTTTAAAAAAAAATTATTTCCATATAAAATCTGTTATTATTACAGTATCATATTAATGCACTAAAGCATCTAATGATACACTTCACCTTTCATTGCTTTAGGTTCTTCTTGGACAGCTGAGAAATCTATTGCACAGCTGAATTCTAAATATGGGAAAAAAGTCATTATTAATTTTTTTGTTGGCACTGATGATAAAAACTCTATGAACCATGTAATTCATGTAAGTTTGTGTGGCCAACAGCCAAAGTTACTTTAAATTGCAGTAAAACTTCCACACACGTTGTTATTGATATTTAGAAATAAGGCATATTCTCATTTGAATTGCATGAGCAAGGTGGTAATAAGTTCAAGGACAGATGCCTGGATTCCCAATTTTGAAAGTGTTTTCTTGATGCTGTGGTTTAGACATTCAACTCTCCTTCCTGCTACCTTTGTTTTAGATACCTCTCCCTTTATAAAAACAAATGATAAGAAAGGAAAGACTCCAGGTTTCTCCTGTTTAGAAAAAGCACCTGCTTTCTCTGTATGTTCATGAAAGGAGCATGGTCTGGTTTACATAAGTAATACAGGTCAGAAATTAGAAATTCCTAATTGATTCCAAAAAGATCATAGAAATGGGATTTTTAACACAATTTTGGTTCTTGCTAAAGAATGTCTGTACTTTTTTCTCAATTAAGGTAAACAGAATCCCATTCTTTTTAAGTGGCTTTATTTGATTTTTTTAAAGTGTAAGCCACTCATTTAGGTTTACCTAGGACAAGATTTACTTAACTGAGTATGTTCGGAATAGAGTGAAACATCTAGGGACTTTTGTTTAGTCTCCTGTAAAAGAAACTAACCAAAAGTTGCAGGTCACAGAAGCATAATTATGTCACTGTTGCATAAATCTTTATAGTCATTTTTATTAAAATCATGAAAGAGACTGAACCCAACTCTTGCCTACAGTGGACTCCTTTCTCTCCTCCTACGTTCTCTCCTTTGGCTATCAAGTGCCAGTATCCTGCATGATCGCCATGAGGGGGTTTCCTAAGGAGGGTCAGGAGGTTGAAGAAGGGGCAGGGCTCTTCCCGTGGGGATGCCTTTTGGCTCTTTCCTTACCAGTCCTCTGGGTTCTGTTTCTTTTGTATTGGCCTGGCCCTTTACAGCTGCTAGGATTCTCACTCTCACCCATAAATGCTCTAGTTTACCTCATCCATCTTACCGTGCGGCGCGTAAGAGGGACTCTCACAAAGCCGCGAGTATGTCCACAAGTTTTTGCTAGGTATCCAAGGTGTCCAGAAGTTTCTGCTAGGTATCCAAGGTGGACTGGACACACTAGAACCGAGATGAGTTACCTCTTTCACACACTCAGCTGGCAGCTGGGTCTGCTGGCGTCCTGAGCAGGACAGCTTTGGAGAGAACTGAGGAGGAATCTCCTCTATCCCCTTAGGGTAGAGGATCTCAAAATAATCAAGATTTCTGCTAGCTTAGAATTTCTTGACTTACCATAGAGGTTTTCCACCTTTTTTTTTTTTTTTTCTGTCCCAATTAAGGGTGGGGGTAGAAGAGAATGTCCCTCAGGGAGCATATTAGAATCTCAGGAAGCCAAAATGTCCTGTAAAAGTGTAATGCTCCCTAGTCCTAGATTCTAACATGTATTTGTTCACCTCCCCCTTTGTTATGCATTAAAAATCCTTCCCCGTGTGTGTTTTTTTTTGTTCAAGATTTCTTTGGTTTTTCTCAAATATCTGCAGCACAGACTTCCAGATTATCTAGCTACCCATCAGTTTAACACTTGGAAGCAGTAGCGTGGAAACCATTTCCTATGTATTCACTCAGTGTCTGCTTGTTACCCTTATAAAGAACAAGAATGCTAGGATCTTTTTTGTTTTTTTAACATCTTTATTGGAGTATAATTGCTTTACAGTGGTGTGTTAGTTTCTGCTTTATAACAAAGTGAATCAGCTATACATATACAAATATCCCCATATCCCCTCCCTCTTGCGTCTCCCTCCCTCCTACCCTCCCTATCCCACCCCTCCAGGCAGTCACAAAGCACCGAGCTGATCTCCCTGTGTTATGCGGCTGCTTCCCACTAGCTATCTATTCTACATTTGCTAGAACACTAGGATCTTGCTCATACATAGATAGGCGTGCTTGTAATTTGTCCAACTGTTCTATATCAACTGAATATTTTCTTCTTCGCATATTTTTGTATAGATTGACCAGCCTCGACTTGGCCTGCCTTCCAGAGACTACTATGAATGCACTGGAATATATAAAGAGGTAAAAACAAAAACAGAAATCCAACAAAATAAAATGAAACTACAGAATTTAAACTTAACGCTCTATGTCCTTCACTCAGGCAGATACTGAAAATCACACATAATAGTGAGCTTCCTTTGACTGAATGAATATTCTAAACTAAGAAACAAAGAAACTTGAAATTCCTTGTTCGTGTCTTGACCTTAGTACTTAAGTCACGTGACCCATTTTGAAAAGTCAATTTTAAATGTTTTATTTTCTCTATAAATTTGATCATTTAAAAAATGAACAGGTTAATCATGGTCTAGGTCAGTGCCAGTGAGGACCAGGGAATGGTCCAGTATCAGACACATCATACTCTGCAGCACTTTTCTAGAACCTTCTGATTTGACTTTCAGGGGACTACCCAGATAGGGGCACTGGGTTCAGACAAACCTTTGCAGTCACCTTCTGATTCTAACATTCATCATACCGCACAGAACTGCTTCGCTTTGCCTCACAGCCTTGCCTCCCTCAAGCTGGTGTTGATGTGCTTTTGCTTCTTGATATAAAGGAACCATAGATGATAAACTTAGCAGTGTAATATATTATTAGGTATTTGGGGAAGGTGTTGGTTCCATAAATGTTTTCCTCATTATTTTGTAGCTCAGAAGTAAGTTAAGTTTACCTTTGATTATTCTGATGGGTCACGATGGTGGTGTGGCTGAAATTACTTCTTAATTAAAATTATTAGCTTTATATGTTTATACTGAGTGTGCATTTTGCCTCATTATTAAATTCAAAATAGCATGGAATAAATTCATTGTAAAGTATCTTTTTGAGTAGCTACACAGCATTGAAATGAAGAAAAAGATGTATTGTAAAAGTCCACAGTTAATAACACAGACAGTCAAATGGGTATGGGACATTTGAGTTCATTATAGGTATTGTGTGGCTTGCAGCTATTGGCTTTATGAGCTGTCTAGCTGCTTCCTATTGCAGAGTTGAGGGTGAGTGAAGAATTTTGGCTCATTATACTACATTTTCATTGTCATCAACTAGGATGTTTTTCAAATTTAGGATTTTGTCCTAAAAACATGCAAATTTGTCCAATCCTAAAAAGATGTATTTTTTTTTTTTGTATTTTAACATTCCTGATATCAAAGTATACCCACCAGTTAGTGTATACATTTAATGTGGTAAAGTTTCTTTTTTGTTTTTTTTCTTTTGGAAAGGATCCTGTTGTTAAGATGATGGTGTATTTGTGCATTTTATGTTCAACGCTATCTCATAATCGAGAAAAGGTCATAATCTAGAGCTGTCTTTCATAGGCTTGGGTCATATGGAAGCATTTTGTTTAACCTGTGGCTGTTTTTTTTTTTTTAATTTTAGATTAGATTATATTTTGAGAAATGCATATTGTATTCCTCTGGTTATTTTAAACTTAAATACCTCAGTTCCTTTTTGTTTTCTGTACTTTCCTTCCTAAAGAGAGAACAGGCCTTAAGGCAATAGAAACTCAAAGGTATTTATTCTTGTAGTTTTTACATGGCAGAATGGTATGTTTTCTTACTACTTAAGGTTACTCATGCACAGACTTTAAGAGCTAAGTGGGACATTAGAGAATTTAGTTCAACCCCTCATTTTACAAATGAGAAAACAGAGACCCAAATAAGTAAAATGATTTGCTTAAGTCATGGATTAGAAGATCTATGTGTCAGGAACATTAATTGTAAGCAATGGAAACCTACTCTAACTTAAATTCTGTAAAAAAAAAATGTTTTCTGTTTGTCACACCTAAATGTAAAGTTCTAGGGATGAATCAGGCATGGTTGGTTCCAGGGGTTCAACTGAACCATCTTATCTCTTTTCCTGTTCTCAAGGTGCTACTTTCTTCTGTGTTGGAGTCCTTCTCTAGCAGGCTTTCTCCATTGTAGCATCAGAGATGATCCCTGGCAGCCTTACAATCCAGAAAAAAGAAATTCTATCTCTCTTATTCCTATCAGTTTCTGAGGAAAGGGCTCTGATTGTTCCTGCTTGAGCTACCTGCCCTTCTCTTGACCAATCACTGTGTCCAGGGAACTGGGCTCTCTGATTGGGTAGTTGGTACTGCCAACCCATCTCTACAGCTCAGGAAGGGAGACCCCTTGATCAATAGTTCCACCAAGAGGAAAGAGAATAGAGGGTTCTGTTATGAGCAGATGAGGAGAAATATCTACTATAGCCCTCCTCATCATGATCCTGTCTCCTGGTTCCCAATCTATTTTTCCTTCTAGATGGTGCTATTTCTATAGAAAAACGTGGAGAGCAAATCTCATTTAAAATTATGAATTAAGCCGGCTCATGTGGATGACACAAGGTGCCAAACAAGACTACATAAACACTCTTTTTCCAGGAGTTTATAATGTAAATTTAATAACACAGTGTTCCTACCAAATGTAAAATAGATAGCTAGTGGGAAGCAGCTGCATAGCACAGGGAGATCAGCTCGGTGCTGTGTGACCGCCTAGGGGGGTGGGATAGGGAGGGTGGGAGGGAGACGCAAGAGGGAGGAGATACGGGGATATATGTATATGCATAGCTGATTCACTTTGTTATATAGCAGAAACTAACACACCATTGTAAAGCAACTATACTCCAATAAAGACGTTACAAAAAAGAAATAACACAGTGTTCTATAGGCCAAATATTAGGCAGAAGGCCACATAGCCATCTATATAAATACTGAACAAATCCATACATTTATTTTAAAAATTGGGATTTATCTGTGTGGCACCTTGTTGTATAAAGTGTCCTTTCCCAGGAAATAAATAGAACTTCCTAAATGTCGTGGCAGACGAAACTGTTCTCAAAATGGGTTCATCAAGGAGCCACTCATGCTGGATGTCTCTTGTTAAAGAGATAGAACCTTATTTCTGAGGTATTCTGATTATCTGAAGAGATCACTTAATGACACATTGCTACCTCAAAGGACAGAAGTAGTGAGATTTGAAACAATCCTATCCCATACAAGAGTATACATTTCCACGCTAGGAAAACAATATGAAAGATACATATTGCCCATAAAAAATAATCATCCCATTCATGGAATTTTAAAATGGAACCAACCAATTACTTCATGTGAGAAAGCTCTCGCTTATTGATTCACTGAAAGGAATGACAACCTTAATTTTCTTGAAAAATCACCACCTCCAGAAGAGTCTCTGAACTCTATGGGGATGAATTGGAATTGGTCTTAAAGTTTCCCTTTCTCTACCTCTTTAGCTTTTCAAGGCTGATTGCTGCCTTGTCCTCCTTCATAAGGAATCTGCAGGTTAGGTACCCAAAATATTTGAGCATAATTGGATCACAGATATGTTTATGTTCTGTGTCTGTCTGAAAAGGTAGAATTAGCCAGGGTAGTGGTTTCTGAACCTAAGGACCACTTTGTGTGTGCCAATGACAGTGCTCTGTGTAGCCACACCTTCATGTTTACGTTCTTCAAGATTCATTTTACTTATTTATACATTAACAAAACATTATTTGAACAGAGCATCTCAGGGCTAAAAGAAAAGTGAGAAAACCACTGATCTAGCAAGTGAGAGCCCTAGGAGGTAACAAAGGAGTTGGAGATTAGAAGCTATATAGTATAATGCTATGGGGCCTGGCAGGGGTGGAGGAGGCCAGAGTCATGAAGAAATTTACAGTGCTTAGAAAAATTTGATGTTCATTAAAAAAAAAAAGGGAAACATTTCAGGGATGAAGATAGAGGACTTGGAATATGGCCAGAATGGTTAGAAGCCAAAAAAGAGGTGATCCGGGGCCTCTTTCAAACACAGTCCAGGGAAATTCTCTAAGCTGTACCTGCTCTGGAAAGAGCACAAGCTGAGTTTTGCAGTCCTTTAGATGAGCAGGTATTGGAACTGAGGGTAAACCTAGAGAGGATTTTGTTTGCCCACTTACCCAAAATACAAGCTCAGAGAAACTGCTCCGGACTTGGACTGCGATTAGAAATCTGATGACATAGGAGGTGAGGGAAACTTACTTAATATACTTACAATTTAACTTTATTTTTATTGAGCTTCTACTATGTGACAGATGCTTTTCTAGGCAGTAAGGATACCAAGGAAACAAGGCAGAAATGGTCCTTATTCACATGGAACTCATGTTCTAATCGGAGGAGATAGATGATAAAGAAACAAGTAAATAAATTAAAGAAACAAGATAAATGGAGATAGTGTTATAAAAGAAATAAAACTGGATGATATGATACAAGATGAATGACTGGGGGTAGGGGTCGGTGGATAATTTAGATGTGATTTGATTTGGTTTTTAAAAAGATTGCTGTGACTGCTGCTTGGTTGACTTGGTAAAACGGATCCTGCAAAGGAAGCGGCTGACCTCATTTTGTACTTTCTGGGCACCAGGTGACTAATAGTCAGGAGGTTTCACCCAGTCCACAAAACCTAAAGGAGCTTTTGAACTTGAGACTTCCTGGATATGACAAAACAAATTTTTTAGATCAACTGAACTCAGTTTGTACAAAGAACTACATGCACCTTCCCAAACATATGCAACAAACCTTAGAAGTTACACAATAAGTTCTCTCATATGAATCTGCAGGCTCTCTCATTAATAACTTGATGAAAGCCCCCACCAGTCCCCATGCTGGTCCGTAGTGGATCCTCTTGTAACCTGTGTTTCTCCTACTCCAGAGCCCTGCTAGGATTGGGGGCTGTTTCTCACTTCCTGTCCCCAGGAATGGCTGCGGGATTCTCTGTGTCTGTGCCCTTCTTTGGGGAGTAAGCCTCTGTGTTCTGGCAGCTGCATGATCCCTGACATGCTGCTTCAAGTGGGAAAAAATCCCAAGCCTTCTGAGAGGAAATATCTCTCTCCTGCTGGGGGCCCCTGTGTGTTCCCTCAGGAAACTTTTCTGTGTAACACTATTAAATAACACCACCGGCATCAGTGGCTAGGAATAAGACAGTTCTGTGACTTTTCGGTCACTGCATGCTCCACATTATGTCTTGGAAAGGGAAGGGCAGAAAATTGGTAAGAGCTAGGTGTCCCGGAACAGAAACTTTCAAAGTGAAACCCCTGGTCCATAGCTGTTGGCACACCAAGGTACAGAAATATTGGCCAACCTGCCCAGAGAGCTCTCTGTTCCTCCCTGGCACTTGCTGTTACTTATTAACAAAGATACCAAGTATGAAGGACAATAGTGGAATGGCATCACTCTCTTGCTCTTTGGCAACTCTAACAAATATCAGCTTTCTTCTAAGCAGGAGAAGTCCAACTTCTGAACAGAGCCAATATATAAATATTATTGCCTGGTCCTGCAATATGAAGATAGTCCTAATTAGAGTAACAGTTCATGGTGTTGGGTACCGGTAAATATCATCTCACCAATAGTGTGTAATTTAAAAGTTCACAAAACTGCAATTAGGGATTTTACCCAACCATTTAAAACCAATTAGCGTCTTTGAACCTGCTATTATAAGCATTAGGATTTGCAGTGTTTTATTTTTAAAGGAAGGACTACATAGACATTTAGGTTTGGGGGGTTTTTTCATTTGTTTTTGTTTTTGTTTTGTCACATAAAGGATTCACTGTATCAAAGCTTCAACTAGGCTACCTTACGACTGTCGAAAACGGTAGCTGCCTCTGACCCTTATCGTAATAACTAGTTGCTCTCTTAGTGACAGAAAAGAAAAATTGACATCTGATTTAAAAAATATCCTGGCCAATGTACTTTTTAAATGTTAAAATATGTGTTGATTACTTTTTCGCCAAATTATGACAATTGCTATTATTTGGCATTTTAAAAATCTAGAAGTATCTCAAGGAAGAAAATCAATACCTTAAGGTAGAATCATATCTTGTAGAAAGGGTTTAACAGCAGCAGTAAGCCTGGGTTCTGACAGCTACTAGATAAATTTGGAAGCCAGGAAAGATAATCAAGATACTAAGACATGTTTTAATCAGTCACATTGTAATAGGTTGCCAGGTAGTGGAGCTCATTAAAGGAAGTAGTGTATTCCATGTAAGTGTATTAAATATTCAAGCATCTCAGAAGTTCATGGTATAATATGCTTCCAGTTTTCTGGGAAACTTTACCAGCTCAGAAGACTAGAAGCATTTTCCAAAGTTCTTCTGCTTGCCAAATTCTATGGTCTTTAAATAGATCTGTAAGGATAAAGATACTGGAGTTAAAACCAGTTTGCAGAGTCAACGAAATGGAGGAGAACACTCTTATTATTGTTTTCTCACCTCATTAATGAAAAAGCATCCCATAGAGTAAAAAAAAAAACTCAGTAGATTGATACTGGAAAATTTTAATTACCATTTCCTTCATAGTCAGTAGTAATTCCCTGCTGAATGCAGATGAATTTATATGATTTGAAATGCAGTTAATTCAAAGCACTGCATGCTTGTACTTTGGAATAGTTGGTCCCATGAGGTATGAACTCAGACATATTTGTTTTCTTCAAAGTGAAACAAGAATTCTGATTACTTTTTAATAGGAAAAGAATGGAGTTGGCAAGAATATACATAAAAACATCCTTTTATCCCTGTTACCTTAGTGATTTGGTTTTTAATACAGACACATGGCTGAAAAATAGTTTGTTCTATTGAGTAGCAGATCCATGGATAGAGATGCCAGCGAGACAGGCTCACAATCGCTGGGTATCCTTGAAAGAGAGAGCCCTCTCCCTGGGAAATTGTTTACTTAGCATTTAGTAAAGGTCATGGGATGCCAGTATCTAAAGGTGTCCTCTTGAATTTCAAATTAATAATGACTTTGTACATTTTACTTAGGTTCTTGCTTGATAAAATATTTTCATTTTCCCTATAAGTTTTATGTTTGATTCTCTTAATGAGTCACTGTGAATTTAGATGTGCCTTTGCGCTCACAGTGACTAGAAGGGTGCCCCTTTCACTGATAATCAACTAGTAGGGTTGTAAAAGCCCCTTGAAAGTGTGGAATTGTTAAGCACGCTACAGCTTTCCTTCATATTTACCCTGTGTGGACAAGTCTTCAAAGCATAGGACTACCCGTCGATCCCAAACTTGTGTGGTATGGCTTTCCTAATTCGGTCATCTGCGTGTCACCAAACTGGTGCTGGGACTTGAATGTGGTGGGATCATAATTTATTTTAACTGCTCATAGAAAATAATAGCTAAATAGCAATGTTATGAAAGTGGTATTAAATTTCCTGGGTTCAGTGCCACTCTGAACTTGAATAAGGTATTTATATATTCTATAAAAGGTCAATAATAAAACTAGTTTATAGCTTATCTTCATAAAGTTAAAATGTGTGTGAAGATAAAATGGAAAGAATTTGAGTTCTCAGAAGAAAGCTGATATTCAAATCTATGGTATCTTAGAAATTTCACAGTAATGACAGCCAGCTTTGGAATTAACTAAAACCCACAGATTTGTGTTGGAGGAGCTCATGAGAATGCATTCTCATTAAAAAAAAAAAAAAATACTGCTTGGCCAGAGAAGACAAATAAAAGATGTCCTGATAATGTAATATGTTTGTGGCCATCTCTTCATGGATAGTTGAAAAATATATATATATGTGTGTGTGCAGAGAAAACCTGTTAAAAGGAAATTTGGCAAAAGAATTTATTATTTAAGAAAAAAATACTAGGTTATTGCTTACCAAATGTTTTACATCTGCATTCTTATTAAAGCAATTTGTTTGATTAAAAGTTGAAAGTTATAAAATCTCCGTAACCAAATGGTTATAAGTTACTTAATACTTTCAGAGTGATCCTTTATTGTTCTGCTATAATTCAAAGACACATTGACTTCCTGAGAATCTGTACAGGTCATTTCTTTTAGGATTCAGGAATGGATTTCTATTTTGTTGTGCTTTATCTGTCACCAAAAATTAATACTGAATGGAAAATAAGTTTTAAGTTAAAGCACCATGATGAATATTTAGAAGATTCTTCAGCAATGTACTGTCATTTATTTCTTGCAGGCTTGTACAGCATATGTGGATTTTATGATTTCTGTGGCCAAATTGATTCGTCAGGAAAGGAGACTGCCTGTCGATGAAAAAGAGATTTCTTTGGAAATGAATAAAGTTATGGAATTGGAAAAAGAAATTGCCAATGTAAAACACATTTTCTCTGATACACTGAACAATGTCAACCACTTTTTATTTCTTTCTCTTCTCTATCGTATTTTAAGGGTAAAATGTACATCTCCTTAACCAAGTGATAAAAATGCATAGCTCGGGAATGGATCATTGACTTCAAGAGGACCTTTAAAACTGGAATTTTACAGTAAACCAGGTTCCAGACATCCAGGAGACATACTTAATTTGACAAATATTAAACTAGATCTACTTAATGACCTATTATAAGTGGATTACATCAATATCCTAACCATTTACAGTCAAACTGTTGTTGAGATGCCCTTGAGATTCAGGACACACTTGATTGCTAGCTATTCAGCAAAGCTGTTTTAGTTTTGATATGTACAGTTTTACTTTATTTTATTTTAAAGTTTAAGGTGACCACAGAAATTGTCTCTATCCCTTTGCTAAGAAGTATTTAGCCTCTGAACGTGGCCACACTACAGTACGATATCACTGAGTTCAAACTGTCAGGCTGCTTATTAGCTCAGGGGAGATCCAAGAGGAGGAGTTTATCAGCAAAGCCCAAGGGGTGTGTTCCTGAGTTTCCCCTAGTTCCAGGTCAATCCTTAGAGTCTGAGTTGGCACATTCTTGTCTGAAGTTCCTCTGACGGGGTCTGCAGTCTCAAGCGAGTGAGCTCTGTAAACAGCATCCGGGTTATTGATTGAACTCACGGTCAGTTTCAGTCTAGGATCCACAGAGCTCTCTGACATTGCAAACAGCAACCTGCACTCCTAAATCCCCGTCTGCTTGTCACTTTATCATCAGAACCTTGAAGACTGAAGATCTTTCAGGGAAATTTTGGCTTTCCTGGGGCTACATGAAACCAAAAGTGTAGAATCAGAACCAGACTTTTCTTGGAGCTGCAGCTGGATGAATGGCAGTTTGATGGGTTGCATGTGGTTCTGTGTTGGAAACAGAATTTTTAGAGGAGAACAGTTTATTACCCTGGGTTTTTACCTCTGGCACCTTCCAAGACCGTGTTCTCCTTTGATCAGCCTCAGCTTCTGTAGTAGTTGTATCTTTCCTCAGAATTCTTTGTGTCTACATTTTCTCTCCCCTCTGACACTCTGAGATTGTAGTGGGGTCTCAGTCCTCCCTGAATCACCTATGTGTCTCTAAGAGTGTCCAGCACATTATTGCGTGCAGATGTTACAAACATAATTTTTAAATGAATAAATAAGTGACCTAAAGGGGAAATGGAGCCATTGTCACTTGCGAAATAATTCCCATTTTTACATTTTGTTTCTTTTCGCTTAAAATTGCTTTTACTCCTTTCAACCACTAGTTGGGCAGTTGTTATTGAAATTTTCTTTTTTGATTCAATGAAAAAAATAATACTGGATGCTGTTGATAACACTGAACTCGTTAGGCCAGATGAGCGGACAGTCACAAAAGTAGATGCTAGAACTCTCCAGATAATTTGCCACCTACCTGTGTTATGTACTAGGAATTTTCTCAGTCTTACTTGCTTTAAATTCTTGTAGAAATCATTGTGCTTTTTTCTATTCTTTTTCCCATCTGAATTTTAACTGGGACACTGAATGGTGGTAGGTGAGAGAAAGAGTATTTGAGAGAGAAACTGGAAATGACTATATTCAAGAAAGTCATTATCATATGAAATAGCCACAGACACAGCTGAGCTGCCCATTTGGCCATAGAAGGAAAGAGGCCTGTAAATATTGCTGATGTGGTTTGGCAGTTATGAAAATACAAAAAGATTTTTGAAAAATTTTATACTTGACACTGCAGCCAAATCTTGATAATTGTTACTGAATATACTTAAAATCTCTTATATTTCTCTCTTCTTCTTGATAAGACAAAATAAATTATAACACAAATACAGAATAGAACTTAAATATAATTATGTTGTACCTATGCCATATTTCTTTTTCCCTTGTATATAGTTATATTTTTCTAAAGAGTTCTTGACCTAAAATAATGATAAGAAATTAAATCCATAGGCTACAACTAAATCTGAAGATCGAAATGATCCAATGCTTCTTTATAACAAAATGACATTAGCCCAGATCCAAAATAACTTTTCACTAGAGATCAGTGGGAAGGTAAGTAGCAGTTTTATGTACTCTCTTATTGTGCCATTTTCTAAAATTATAATATTAAAATGCAGTTTGTTAAAATTTAATGATTTTTTAATTTATTGAAATAAATTGAACATCAAAATGAATTTAGACGACATCAGCCATTTGACTCATGAAAAGACTTGAAAAAAAACTATTTGACATAATTATATTTAATTAGTGTGAATTTCAAAGGTAAAAGTCCTTTCAAGGCAGCTATGTAATAATATTAGAAATTATCATAGAAAAGGGTTTGGAAACATTAAAAGCAAAAATCCTTCTGAAGGACCATTATATAGCCATTGGACTTGGACGGTCAAATAATATAAGTACCAGATTTCTTTTTAACTCTGAAAAAGGATAATTTATTCATAGAACTTGCCATGTTCTCATCAAGGCCATCTATGGAGGTGTTCAGAGCAATAATGGAGAAATAGAACATAAGAAACAGAAAAATCTATAGGTTCCATTTATAAACATCAATTGACATCTTTTTGCTTAGTTGTAATTCCTTAGCTAGTATTTAATAATCTCTTTTAAGGCTATGAATGTATTCTATGTATTAGTTGATGCACACAATCAGGTAATGAAGCAACATTCATGGAAAAATCTACAAACCACCACATTCAGTGATGGAATTCTCTTTGTCACTAATTGCTGAAAACAAGGACTTTTTAAAGGCATAACCTACTGAGTTAGGAATTTCTTACATAGAGCTTTTTAATATAATAAGTGTTTAATAAATATGTTTTGAAATAATGGGCCAAACTGCCAAAGGAAATCAAGAAAAGTACATAGCATCTCACACTTAGTAAGTGATCAGTGTATTTATATACTTCTAGGCATATATATATAAAATTACAGAGCATAAGATATTGGTAATCTTAAACATTCTCAAACATTGGAATGTGGCATTTCAGCAAGATCTGCATAATCTCCACTTCTGCTGTTTTTTCTTATATCCATTGGTGGTTGGATAACCACAGTTCCCATTTAAAGAATAATAGATAAGACTCCATCTTCTGGCAACTCCAAATCCAGCTTCTGACGTGTGAGAACTGCATGCCTGTAGACCTGATATTGATGGCTTAAAGTACATTTTGTTCATCTTCATTGGACCATCTGTGTTGTATCTATACATTTACTATACCTCTGCTAGGACAACAGTGTGCTTTCATTTACAACACCAGCTCCACTGAGATGTATTACTGTGTTTAAATTGATTATTTATTAATATCCACCTTTAAGAGATAAACATTTTATACCCATTTAAATTTTTGTATAAACCTAGGAAACTTTATGTTTACAGCTAAATTTCTTTTTCTTTTCCTTTCATATTGGTTAGACCAAGAATTTGACACTGAGCCTAATTTCTAGCATATGTTCACTACACTTAGAAGCTTTGCTTTTGCTCTTAAATGGTTGGTTTAATTCTTTTATTTAAATAATTATGCTACAGAACTAATTTTTATTCAAAAATTGATTGAAGCAATTAGAGAAAAATCCCAAACAGATATCAAACTGACTATTGTGATAATTATGTAGTGATGCAACTGACACTGTAACCATGTCTGACCCTGTAACCATAACTGAGTCTTGGACCCAAGAAGAGAAATCCATAATTACTCAATGTCTTGTGCCTGCTTTTTTCCAGCCATTCAGCTGGTCAAATTTCACAAATGAAATCATGTCAACTGTGAATATTAATATTCCAAATGAGGAAGATGTGGTTGTTTATGCTCCAGAATATTTAACCAAACTTAAGCTCATTCTTACCAAATATTCTGCCAGGTAGGTATGTCAGAGTGCCCATGTTCCCAAAGTTTACATTTAATATCACGCTTTAGAAGCTTTGCAGCCTCATCTTTTCTGTTGCTGGGTGGTGGGTTTTTTTATGCAGAGATCTTCAAAATTTAATGTCCTGGCGGTTCATGATGGATCTTGTAAGCAGCCTCAGCCGAACCTACAAGGAGTCCAGAAATGCTTTCCGCAAGGTGAAGAAAAAATCTCTCTTTTTTTAAGACTTAAAGCATAAAGCGATCCATGGTTATGAAGGCTTGCCATGTACATTACTAGAAGTGGTAAACTTTGCCAAGAGACAAAATGCCAAATGCTGGGTACGTTGCCTGTACTTAAGCCATGTTGCCTAGGAAAGCCAGTTTTCAGGTGCTCTGTGGTCCTATGATCGTCTTCTCTGGCACCGTGATTGAATTGCCCGGGAAGGGCATGTATTGGTTATTTGAGCAGTTCGTGGAAGAATACTAGCTTGGTTTTTTGTTGTGTTCAAAGTAATTTCAGGGGTATCTATCTCAATTAATTTGATTTTTCTGGTGCTTATAACATACTAGACATTCAGACAGTTGGACTACATTGATGTGGACAATCCCCTGAGAATATACCTACCTGGAGATAGCCTTAAGACCTGTTACTAGACTGTACCTGCATTATGTAAAGAATCATCATTTTTGTCCTATTGTGAGGGGAGAGGGCAGGAGGGATTGAGGAAGGAGAAATTCTCACAAATGTATTGGTTGGTGTCACGGAAAGGAAATAACTCCCTGATTGATTGAAATTTTTAGTTTTTACCCTTTAAAAGAAAATGTAGACATATTTTTTAAATTAGAGAATGTAAAAATGGTGTTTTGCTAAATTTCCCTTCCGTAAGTTAATCCCTTTATTGGTTCTTAAATTTGTACACATGCAGTTCTTCTAAGTACTGGAACTTCAGCAAAAACTTTAGAAAACAGGAATTTGTTTTCTTGTATACCAGATCTCTCCCCTGTTACATTTATTAAATATTACTTCACATTTATGTTTATACAGTGGCAACAGTGTTATTTTGTCTGTTTGGTGGAGAGGGTTGTTGTTTCTAACCCTGTCTAGAAAGATATTAACTTGCAATAGCCAACAGTTTTTCTAGGACGTGCTACTGAAAATATACCTTATTTCCAGATCATAGTAAGTAATAATTCAATTGGATTACATTTTATCCTATGCAAGGACATCCTGACATGTGAGGAGAAGCAATGAATATTGCAAGAATTTAGGAGACATAAAGAACAGAGTCCTGTGAAATTTGTGCTCTTACCACGCTTCGGCCATGTACTCCTGGTCAAATGCCATTTCCTTTTTCTCTCCCATAGGCTCTTTATGGCACAACATCAGAAACAGCGACTTGGAGACGTTGTGCAAACTATGTCAATGGGAATATGGAAAATGCTGTGGGAAGGCTCTATGTGGAAGCGGCATTTCCTGGAGAGAGTAAACATGTGGTAATGTTTTCTGCACAATACTCTATCAGCGTGTGTTTGCAATGATGGGCAATTACAATAGTCCATCATTTGGTTAAAATTTTATTAATTGGCAGAGAACTTCTGAATCACAACTTGCCATTATTTCCCAATAAATCTTATTCTCCTTCCCCCATGGGTCTGGTTATGTTTCTGATCCTAATATTGTTTAACCCAAAACCAATTGTCTGTTTTCCAGAAGCAATGTATTCACAATACCCAGTCACGTGTTCTAATGATATAGTCATTTGTAATCTCTTCTGTTATCAAAATTGACTAAGAATTAGTATTTTCTTAAAAACCAGAAAGTAAACCAGGGTTTATTTGAAGTGTAAGACATGTACTTTATTTTTTATTGTTACTGAAATGAAGACAAGGGAACTTAAAGACATGGTGAAAGAATCTATTGAAATGCTACCTCATGCTTAACTAAACTACTAATAGTAATGACAGTATTTTATGTTAGTTCGTCTTTCGTGATAATGGAAACCATACATTCTGAAGATGATTTTTATTAATGTATGCATTAAGACCTATTTAATCATTAGTGTTGATAGTAGCAGTGTTGCTTTAAAAATATAATTACCCACATATATCCATTTGTTTAGATCACCAGTTTGTTTATTAGTTTACATTTATTAACATATCATTGAATCATATAAAGACAGCTTATAGCTCTATTTTTTTTTAAATTTGTGTTAGAAAAAATTAATTCATGGCCTAAATTTGCCTTCTGTTCTTTTGGTTTAAGGTTGAGGATTTAATTGCACAGATCCGGGAAGTTTTTATTCAGACTTTAGATGACCTTACTTGGATGGATGCTGAAACGAAAAAGAGAGCTGAAGAAAAGGTAAAGAGCAAAAGGCAGGGCGAATTATCAAAGAAAAATCTATAAGAAAAGATTAACTTTTAAGAAATTTGGGGAACACATAGTATTCAAAGGTTGCGTAAAATAAAAGCAAGCTCCTTCAAGCTGCAGTGTGTCCAGGAACACTTTTCAGGGATGAAGAATTTTTTTTCTATGACTTTCATCTTTTATTATCTCTTTGTAACTAGCTCCTACTTTCCATGTTTGGCTCAAAACTTTGAAAGATCTCCAATTTTCCTCTTTTTTTTTTTTTTTAAAGGAAGTCTTCACAAAACAAGAGGAAAATCTTGTGTGAACAAGAAAGCATTAGAAGATATTATCAGTGGTTCATGTTTTTCCTCCTTTTATGAAAAATGTTTAAAAGACCTCACCAATATCTAAAAATATCCCCTAATCTTTAATGTAAATTTCTAGCTAAATTTTTTTTAAGCATGCACTATTTAGTTTTTTTTTTAAATGACCTAGGGAGAAAAATACTAAATTTCTATTCAAGCAAATGTAAGGTAGTGCATTGAGTACTATAAGGTGACCTACAGTTAGAGGGATGTTGAAGGAGCTTTTTATAACTATTCTTATTTACCCCCATTGTGCACCTTTTATTGGGACTCTTAGTATCTTGCATTAGAATAAATAAAAGTGAGATGTCTAAGGAAATCTCAGGTTTAAATTTACTATGCCATTGTGTTGATAACTATATAAACCTAAAAGGAACATGTCCAGTGAAAACTGTATGTGTTTATGAGCAGTATTCACATGCAGCCTGATTATTCCTCTGTAGTTAGGGTAACAGGAAGAACAGACCGTTCTTTGAACTAACACAGAAAGAGTCCATAAATCTATTATAATAAGAGAATCAAGCTGTAGTCTAGTTCTCTTTCAGGATTAGATCACATGAAAGGATTATCTTTTTCAGCTATCACAGAGCCCTGAGTGGGTCAGGTCTAGAATTTGGCACCCCAGTATAGCTATCTTTCCATAATTCTGTAGGTCCTCAGAAGTTCAGGCTGGATTTGCTCCTTTCATGTTCTAGCTATCAAACATGGTACTATTTGATGGTAGCCAATCAAATTGTTCTAGGTAATCATTTCCCAAGGTGGTGTCATGAAACTCTGGACCTGCCAAGTAGCTCTGTGAAAGATTCCCATGGTCAAAAAAGAGTTTAGGAAACATTTCCTGCAGGAAGGCTTCCCTGATCCCACCCTCGACTAGGTTTTATACCTGTAGGGTGTGATCTTATGGCACCATACATCACACTTGAGAGTTAAGATTCATTTTATTGCCTACCATTGACCTTTATAGTAAACTCTCCAGGGGTAGAAATTTTTGCCTAGCATTGTATCCTCAGCCTCTTACAAAGTACCTGGCTTGTTGTATACCCTTGAAGACAAATTGAATGAATAAATAGACAAATTAATTCATCCCATTGGGCACTTACAATTACTTAATTTTAAACTCTAAGTAGTCTTTCAATGAAGAAGCCTGCTTAACGTTTTTGTCACAGTATCTACCCCAAATATTTGACAATATATCCTTTTCATGTAGTACCTCTTATTTCTGTAGATTTTGTATCCCTTAGGACACCTTTTGGGGAAATACCTTCTAGTAAATAAAGTGCCATTGAGAGGGAGATGATTCGTTATGGGCTGATGGTATGGAAAGGAAATGGGCTTGGCCAAACTGCTTTAGTGACACATCTGTCTGATCCACTGGGGAAATCCTAGGCTTATGAAACAGATTTGTAACAAAACCACATCCATTTGATGGTAAAACAAATAATTCAGAGATGCAAGCTTAATATCCCATGAAAATATTAAATTAGTTAAATTATTTAAGAGCAATGTGATATGATAAAATCAAAAGTCAGCTATCTTTGAGAAAAATGCGAGAAATAAAAAATAGAAATAGGAATAGCAAATAGTAAACAAGTGGTACTGATGAAATAATTACAATAAGTAAGCAATTTTAAAATAATAAAAATAGAAATAGTAGTAAGGTAGTGGTAAATATGAGATGGTATAACAAGGAAAACGCTGTTTTCTACTTGTTTAACTAATGTCATTCATTTAACTGCGGGAAGTTAGGTACACTAGCTCTGGAGACCAAAGGAGAACATAAAAACTCCAGGAACCAATATTTAGGAAGAATATTAGCATTAAACCTGTAAGCCCACATCTGTTTTCTCAGCCAAATCAGTGAAGTGGAAAGATAATTATAAGCTGCTAGAATGGAAGTTCTAAATATTACCCCTCCTGTAAAATTGAAGAAAAAAGCCTTTCAGAGAAAAAGTTCATAAAAGTACAATACATGTGGAACAGTGACTTGTCAGTTTTCATTTTGGTTTTCTTGGGAAAGCTGTAGCCTATGAGAATAGGGTATTAGAAGCTAAATTTCAGAACTATTTTTTGTTTATTTTGAACTCCAGGAAAAAGCCAATGCAAAGATCTCTGTTTAAACGTTGTCAGATAGTCGTCTTGTAAACAGTATGGCTCAGGTTATTCAACTGCTGTCGAGGGCAGATTATAATGTTTGCATTTGGAAGTTCTTAATCATGCTCACATTCAGTATTCTAATTTTCATAGGCCTTAGCAATTAAAGAAAGGATCGGCTATCCTGATGACATTATTTCAAATGACAACAAACTGAATAATGAGTACCTTGAGGTAAGTCTTTATAAAGACTGCACTGATGATGCCTGGGGCTGGTGGCAATGTCATTTCTAGCTATGAGGGGGGCCAGAAATTATGTGAAATAGCCTACACCCAGAGGCCTTATTATATTGATATTAAGCCTTTAACACTGAAGCCAGAACTATGTTTGTTTTAGTTTTAACCTATTGTTTCATGGGCTGGTCTGTATTTGGTTTTGTTATTTTGCTTTCCATATATTCCATTTTAAGAGTAGTGATAAAAATCTGGTGTTTTTTAAAGAGCATTAAGACGTAGACATTTAAATGATGAACAGGCAGTACTCAGGCTTCTTATCTCATTTTATACACGCCTGAAAGTCAAATCTTCAGCTTTCCTTCCACTTTCTAATTATTCCTCCACTGGGTAAACCAGGTCATGCCTTCTCTATTTGAAAAAAAATCTACTATTTGAGAATGGGGAACTATTTTATTCTCCTTTGGTAATGTAACAATGAAAAGAAAACAGAGTTGATTGAAGTCACTACAGTATTGATTTCAGACTCAGCTAAAGGTCCTGTCATTAACCTTGCAGTCACCACAACTACTTGAAACCCCGGTGACAAGGTGACCCTTGCCTAGATCTGGGGATGACAACGATTCCTAATCTGTTGATTACTAGCATAACACGGGAGTTTGCAAGGCATAGTGTCCTCTTTCCTTTTTCCATTTGCAGAAAAGCTTGACTTTTTATAAAATGAGCTGGCTGTAGCATGTGAGTCCCCGGGGCCCCTGTGGCAGGAGTCTAATGGCTGAGCACATAGTCTCACCGCTGAATTGCTTGGGTTCAGATCTCAGCTACACCTCTCACTAGCTGGCTAAGAGCATAAGCTCAAAGTCAGACTCCTAGGGTTCAGATCTCAGCTCCATCACTCATTAACTTGGGCAAGTGACTTAATTGCATTTCAGTCTCCTCAGCTTCAAAATGGTGGTAACAGCCCATCTTCACAAGATTATTATGGGGATTCAAAAATGTGATATATGAAGTTCTTATAACTTAGTAGGTACTAAATATGAATGCTTTTATCTTGTCTGTCCTGTAAGGATTAATATCAATATAGAAAAGCTTGTTTGACATTTAGTTTCGTTTAATTACAAAAGAATAGACTGAGGTAGTGATTCAGCCAGCGCAGCAGCGATCTGTAATATAGAACTAAGCTCGTTGGAACTTAACTTTTCTTTGGCAAGTTTTGGTGTTCTCTGTTAACTTTATTAAGTGATAGAATGTAAGAAAATATCTCTTAATGTTATTTAGCAAAAACTTTGAAGATACCAGTTTTAATATTTTTCCCCAAATCTTTTAAATTACTATAGTTGAGCTACAGGGAAGACGAATACTTTGAGAACATAATCCAAAACTTGAAGTTCAGCCAAAATAAACAGCTAAAGAAGCTTCGAGAAAAGGTGGACAAGGATGAGTATGTATATTCCAGTTTTTTCTAAAAATATGTTCATTCAGAAGAGGGACCTTGTTGGATTAAGAGAAAGAACCTGGTTTAGAATAATGTTAAAAGGTGTCATGTTCTCTTTCTATCGAGTACTTCTAAGAGCATCTAAGACTATACCAAAGATGAGTCAGGGATTTAATCAAAATTTAAACTTTTTTCATTAAGGTGTCCTTAGATTACCTTCCGTTTCTCCTCATATGATTGTCTGTCCCCTCTACTTTGTTTGTGGACAGGGCTCTCAAGAACACCTTAGCCTAAGTAATCCATAGCTCCTGCAAGCCTTCTCTGAGGCTGTATTACTGTACACGGCATTATCATCTGCCCTCAGCCCCACCTGTTTTCTATCGGTCCATCGTCCTGCAGCTCCATGCCCTCCCTAGATTGCTCCAGGTAACACTTCTGTCAACCCTGTGGTAGCCAAATATGAGATATCAGGACTCACTCTCATTTGTAGTTTTCAAATGCTCTTAATCTCTGCTTACTAGTGGCATTAGTACATTGTAGTAACTATTAGTTTAATGTTCATTTTTCAGTTAAATGGATGTGTCTAACATATTTATCAACATAAGTGTTTATGCACTTAAATCCCTAGAACTGCTTGTGCTTTTAGCTCCTAGAGAGCAAGGGACCATTCAGCACAGTGCTGAACACATAGGAGGTTTTCAGTTAAAACTAAATTAATGAATGAGTGAGCAAGTGAAAAGTAAATATACTAGTTTGATTTTTGTGGTAACTGACACAATGCCATACCAAGTCCAGGTGTCATTGGGAACTGGGAGAATCAAAGGTGAACTTTGATTGTATTACATTACATTACAGCAGCAGAGGGTATGAAAGACGTGTTATGATAAACTGTATCACCAGGAGGAAAATGTGCCAAGAAAGGTACAAAGTGCAGAAGGACTATTTGATAACAGGACTCTTCTATTAGTAAACCAAGTCCAGGTTGGACAAAATTCCTAATATGGAAATGCCAGTTTATTTCAATCCCTGTACGACATTTTGAGCCCTTAAGGTACCCTGAAAAAGAGATTGATTTTTTTGCTGACCTCTATGTTTACACTGGAGCAAATGTTATATTGTCTGGTGCTAAAAATGAGACAGCAAATGTCACAGAATGTTTAGTGTCCCAGGTGGGAAAGAAAGATGGAGAATGGGCACATATGGTTTGTGTTATAATCAGTTGTCAGTCCTATCTCTAGAAACAAACAAAAAGTCATCAAAAATAATATCCTGTGGGAAAATTTATAATCTGAGAATCCTTATAAGTCTGAATATTTTTATTTCTTTAAAACTACATATAGTTACACTTAATGGTTGTTAGCACTGAGTAAAATATCTACATAGAAATATCATCGAATATTCTTTCTGAAAATAGCTAATATAACCTGCACCCACCTGACCCCAGAAGATTTCTTCATAATTTAAAAAATAGTTGTTGAATTATTGCTTGATGTTTTCTTTAGAAGTTAATATAGTCCCAGCTCCATAGTCATTTCGTAAAATGGTGTGCAGTTTTCATTCCTTTTTATCGTATGTGTTGACTTTCTCTGAGTTTTTTTTTCTTTACTATAGATAATCGAAAGTGACAATTGTATATAATATTTAAATGAATATTTGCTCAGTAGCATGCATAGCTCAGTAGTACTTTTTGGATCCTTTCTGTGAGCTTCTGACTGTTAATCACAAGTGCAATATGATGTATAAGGTCTTCTCTGCCATACCAGGCTAGTTTTTCTTCCTTCCCTATCTTCTACCTGTATGCTGAGTACAAGGGTTCAAAACTCAGGCTGCACTTTAGAGTCACCTGGGGCAGAAACAGAGACACAGATGTAGAGAACAAACGTATGGACAGCAAGGGGGGAAAGTGGCTGGGTGGGGGTGTGGTGAGATGAATTGGGAGATTAGGATTGACAGGTATACACTAATATGTATAAAATAGATAACTAATAAGAAACTGCTGTATAAAAAATAAACAAAATAAAGTTAAAAAAAAAAAGAAATAGTACTGATTCCCCAACTCTACACCACCCTAGATTGTGATGTACATACCTGTAGGCGGGGACCCAGGTATTGGTATTCTTTTTAAGTCCCACGCCCCCTTCTCAAGTCAGAACCCCTGCGTTAGTGTTTGTTCCTTTTTGTGTTGACTCATACTTGCTCATATTCAATTTTGTGAAATTTTTTTACAAGGTGATATCTTTAATTTGGCAATTTAGCTTTAAAATTTAGTGTTTGTCTTCCAAAATATTGGAAGTACTTTTGACAGTGATTGCATTAAATCATTAGGACTGTACCCTGTAGATTACAGCATAATAAAAGTTCTTCCTATTTTATTGAGTTTTCTTATAGTGAAAGTTTTTGACTTAATTTGTACCTGCTTAATAGCAATAAAGTCACTATGTTTTCTTTCCTTTTTTATATAGCATCAAGTTCAAGTCCTCACTGTGTATGTTCAGGCAGATAACATCTATTGCTTCTACTTTATTCATGTAACCTGCAGTTAACTCAGAGAATTACATTTTCAGATGCTCAAGTCCTCACTCCTAGGGTCTTGCAGGACAAACAGGTGTCCATATCCACACTAGAGGAGACAGAGATGAGAAAAGCTATTGATTATAGTAGGGTTATATTGTAGGGTATTATAGAGAAATGATGATGCATTAAATTTTCAAGGCAGCAATTAATTTAAATAAATTCAGTCAATTAACCAAATAGTAAGCTTCAGGACTTTTTCTTTTCTCACTCCACATGCTCTCACTGGGCAAACTTGTATACTTATTTGCATCTTCTACTATCGTTATGACCCCTGAATACATGTATCTGGCCCAGGTCTGTTTGCTGCGCTCCAGATCCAAATGTCTAGCTGTCAATGAAACATCTCCATGCAGGTGTTCCATTGACCCTACAAACACAGCATTTGCCTTTTCGAGAAAAAACTTATCATCTTTCTCCCTTGATCCCCCTAGTTTCCAACTTCTATCTTATTGCTACCAAGACAGAAACCAGGGGTTCATCATCCTAGACCAATCCCTTTCTGTCATCTCTGATATCTACAGTGATACCTACTTCAAATCCCATTCAAAAAAGAAAAAAAGTTTACATCCACCAGCTGCTAATTAAATATTTTATAGGCATGAGGGGGTGTGGATCTCCATCTTAACCATCTCCATTGTCATGCCCTAATTCAGACATTTCTCATTGTTCACCAGAGTGATGATAATATTTTCCTAATCTTATCATCAATCATCTCACAATCCTTCAGCTAACTCTCCATGCTACTGCCTTAGAGAGCTTTTAAAGACACAAATTGAGTCATGTCATTTTCTGATGAAAACCTTTCCATACGTTTGTTTTGCCCGTCTCGTGAAGCGTGTACCGAGCTCTGCGTACCTCCCTGTAACAGCACTCCAGAATTCCTCTAGAGTCACCCTACCCCACAGCATTGCCCCAAATCTCCACCCGTAGGAATTACTGTAAAGTCATCGCTGCATCTCTTCCTCCTCCTTATCCCTTACCAGGGCCACCCTTTCTGCCCTGTTCATTTAACAGAAACCAGCACATGGTGTGATTCAACTTGAGCGTTATCTCCTTACTCATAGCACCCCCTTACATGATCCTCTTCATCTTGTCCCTGTGCTATCCCTTACACACATTTTAGTCACAGCACCAGTACATCTGATTACATTTAGCTGGACTAGGCCTTGTTGAAAGCAGAAACAGTGTATTTGTGTCACCAGAGATTGAACATTGATGAGCAGAACGTCGACCTCTCCTCAATGATGATGGAGTGAATGATTGATAAAATTGCCAGTTTGTAATAATGCTTACAAAGTGAACTCAGCCACTAAAGTAAATATTGACACATCCAAGCATTTCACCATCATTGTTGGTGAAGATGTCCAGCATGATCTCTGCTGTTCTCTCTGCTTAAAAATTCAAAACATTAAGGAGGTCCGGAAGTCTGCATGTGATATGCCTGAGTTAATCATCTGGCTAAAAGGACTTCTGCCCATTTGAGCCCCTGGCAACTGCAAAGGACAAAGGTTTAAATTTAAAAGGCTCTTGGCTCATGTGGTTTCTGAGTGCCTAGCTTGTGTTTCCAAAATTATCTCAAACATCATGTTCTCTGGGGACTTAATGACAGTTTGTAAAGAGTTTCAAACACATCATGTTATCAAATAGTAATAATGTTAAATTGAGACTGTAATATCCATTGGCAAAATTACTTAGTGATATATCTAAAATGATTTACTGCCAGTAACATGATTATTCACTTAGACTCCATGGAACAAACGTAAACCTCTGAAAAGAAACAGTGTACGGGAACAAAATAAAATGAATTCCTTTTCTTATTTTTAGACTTGATATTATCTTGTTAGTTTCTCAGGACAGAATTTTCTGTAATATAATTGGGACAGATAGTGCCAGTGTTTGTAAATTATGACCACTGAGCATGTGGAGTTGCATTTTGTAAACTACGAGGACTTATTCCATTGCTGCTTCTTTCCTGCTGTTGTACATCAAAATAAAAACAAGCTGACATTAACAGCAGCCAGCTCAATAAACATTTTATCCAGCAGCTACAGTGTGCAAAGCACTGTGCTAAGGATATAGCACAGTAAAGTAATGAGTAAGGATAAAGAGGATAAGGTAATGAGTAAGACTCATAGCCTGTAATCTAGTAGAAGAGGCAGGTGAGCAGCAATGAAAGCTGATAGAAAGCAGAGTTGGTTGGTGCTATTACAAGACAACAAAGTGCTAAGATAGCACTTTTTTAAGCCACAATTAAACCTTTACTTATTAGTAAAACAACTAATTGTTGTTTTACTAATTGTTGTTTCTCTGGAAACAACATGTCAGCATTTAAATTAATATTGAGGTGAACAGAGGATTCACTTAAAACAAAACCAGACAAAATGGTTGGTTCACTTCTGTCTTCTTCATTGCTTCAAGTCTGCTGTCTTTTC